CTTGTGAGCAACGGCACATTTAAATCTTACAAATATAGTTATTTGGCTTATATCGTGATAGATATCGTTATCGCCTGAAATGAAAAAAACATATCGTGATATGAAAAAATCTCATATCGCCCAGCTCTAGTAGGCACGTAGGTCCAAGAGATTAAAGCCATTCAAAATGATGCATTCTGTTGGGGAAACTTCATTCGAACTGTATCATTGTGTCATTGTTTCAGATGTTCAATTTATACTTATGTGTAAGCTCACTGATGCATCACTGACCACAGAATGTGAAACTTCTGCGTATGTCTCTGAATCAATAACACTGCCAGTGAGTAAAAGGTAAAAGATCACAACATATGATTAAAAATAAAGAACAAAACCACTCCCTTTTTAAGCACTATCGACAAACCTTCAGTTAAGGTCTGCTGCCAGAGCTCACCCAGGCTCCCCAAGTGTAAAAGACTAAAGTGAGGCTTTTAGTAACAGCAGCAAAGCTGCCTTGTTTTCCTGGTTACCATCTATAATTAATAGACTGGCGCTTCTGGTTCTTGTTCTGCTTCTAAACCAAACCCCATTAATCCATGTGACCATTACAGCCACACAATAGCTGACACCTAGGAAGATGAATACAGGCATGTGCAGCTCTCTGTCAGTTACCAGACACCATCAATGCTCGAGCTGGAAAATAGTCAACTAAATGAAGGATTTTCACATTTAGAGAAATCATTGGTCTCTGTTACTCAGACCCAACACAGGCTATTCCTGTCAGCAATGTTTTCTCCATATGAGAATTGATTTGATTATTGATTAAGTTGTCCAAAGCTTGTAAAAAGCGTGAATAGATCAATATCCATTTAGATGAGGAAGAAGTAAAAGCTTTTTCTTTGATGTTTTAGAAAGGCTACAGTTGGATCACATGAATTCTATGTCATCTTTTTTTTGTGCTGGTTGTAATGTTGGCGGTAGTGTTGGTAGTGGAATTAAGATAAGATAAGATAAGATAAGATAGAACTTTATTAATCCCTCGGGTGGGTTCCTCTGGGAAATTCGATTTCCAAAAAGCACAGCACCGACAGAAGTTACAGTTACAGAATATTATATATATATCTATATATATATCTATATATATCTATATATATATCTATATATATATCTATATATATATCTATATATCTATATATATATATATATATATATATATATATATATATAAGATATATATATATAGAGATATATATATAGATATATATATATAGAGATATATATATATATAGAGATATATATATAGAGATATATATATATATATAGATATATATATATATATATATATATATATATATAGAGATATATACACACACACACACACACACACACATATAAATACAGAGACAAATATAAATAAAATATACGAAGGGGATAAATAGAATAAATAGGAATAAATATAAAAATACAAGTGAATTGCACATTTCAAGTATTGAGGTCTATTGCACCATTGACTATTTACAAAAAGTATTGCACAAGGTATTGTACAGTGAGGTGAAGAGGCACTACAGCTTAGCTTGTCTTTCTATTTTAGTCAAACGAGAAGAAAAAAAAACAAATAATTCTGTATCATATGGAAATTATCTATGTATGCATAGCCATGCTGTTGCTCCTTATTTACACATTAAACATGCAAACGCCTCATGTCATCCTGTCTTGACTGTTTTTTCTTTTCTTTGGCTGTATAGTTTTGTGAAAGTGATCATGCGCATGACTGCATGTATCCATACATACGCAACAATGTGTTTTGTAATGTTGCTGCAACCCTGTGAGCAGTGACATCTCTCTCACCGTCCATAAATCCAATTAGTGGAACAAATTGGAGGCAAAGTCCATATTTTATTAGGCGAATATCGATGTCGTCAATTTCACTGCACCCTGTAAACAGTGACAATAAATGCTTCTTATCATATCCGTCAGCGTTTTAAAATCCAGCTAAAGGAACAATTGTTGGCAAGGTCCATATTTTATTGGGTGATATTAAGGTTTGTCAATGTTCTTAAAGCTAATTAGTGGAAACTTATAATAAGCAAAGACAAAAGTCCACTGCATTCTATGCCATCCTCTTTTTTGTGGTGGTGGTGGTGGTGGTGGTGGGAGGGTAGAAAAACTAATTGTCTTGCGATTTTATTCAAACACGGAGAAAAGAAAGGAAAGAAGCTGTTCTTCAGACAAACAATCTCTTGGTTTATTTTGGCTCAGATTGATGATTTGTGACATCTAAGAATAGAACTAAACCAAGCAGTTACTATGCTTTAAGAGAGCCTGGCTTTAACTACCAGCACAGTTAGTCCAAACAGGACATCCAGTCAGTAAATAGCCAAGCATCAAAGTATTTCTAACTTTTAAGCACTTTTAACTGCAGTCTTGACTTCCTCAAAAATGTCTGTTTACTTTCCTCTTCTCCTTGTCTAAATATAGAATAATATTCAAAGCCACGATTTTGCTCCTCATTTACAAAAAAACGTTGTATTTTAGCCTGCCTTTTCTGTTTTGTTTTTTTTATCCCCTTATGCTATATGGTTTTGTGACAGGCTGAAAATGATCGTGTGTATGATTGGGCATAGCCTATGTATGGATGGATACATGCATGTGTTTTGTAATGTCACTGTCAGAGCACCTGCAATTTCACTGCACCCTGTAAACAGTGACAATAAATGCTTCTTACCATATCTGTCAGTCCAGCTAAAGGAACAATTGTTGGCAAGGTCCATATTTTATTGGGTGATATTAAGGTTTGTCAATGTTCTTAAAGCTAATTAGTGGAAACTTACTGTAAGCGGAGGTAAAAGTCCAAATTTAATTAAGTGTACATCAAGGTAAGCGCGAAAGAATTAACTAAAATTAGGTAGCTGGTGTTAGTCCAAAATAGCATGCCTAGTTATCCAGGCTGATAGGATGAATGGGCCACGGCTGAAGCTACAAGGCCCTAAAATAAGGATGTGCCAGATGCTGAGGTGACGGGGATGTCCACACACACACTCAGTAAGGCACACAGAGAGTAAAAGAAGAAGAGAAGGGTGGAGATGATGGGAAACGTTAATGAATTAATTATAGGAGGTATTCAGGACATGTGATATTACACAATTGCATGTGACTAACAGGCGGCATATGATCTAGGAATGACTCGCTTGTAAGTGATCCCTATGCTCAGGTTGACACCGCAGATGTCATTAAGGCTCATGTATCCAAGATTCATAAAGTATATCAAAAAAAGAGAGAAAGAACTGTAAAATTAATATGACTCGGCGTTGATAAGTCTATCAGTGACATCAGGGTATCTGAGATGAGGGCCAAAATATCACATTTTTTTCTGTGGTCCCTGACGATACGATGAGCAATATAATCATAGCCGTTAGGCCTGCTAACATCGGGATGAATATAATAGACACGCTCATCAGTAATACTATTATTATAGTGTCCAGGTACATGGATATTATAGTCTGAGCTCCAGCAACCCAGATGGCCATCATCATCATCATAGATTGGAAGATGAGTACAGGCGCATGGCAACGTCTTTTCTCAGCCAAGCTGTCACACATGACCTAACAGCCCATACAAACAACCTCACTACATCTTCATCACCTACAATTTTTGGAATAAATTCATCAATTTGACTTGACTTACCGATTCCGGGGGCGGAGTAGATGAAATACAGTGCCGAGGTGGACAGCGTAAAAAGGAATAAAAGCCCAAGGAATGACCTTCTCCGGAACCGCAAATGTGTCGGCATTATACAGGCAACAGAAGCACACACAGGCACGTTCGCGTTTCTAAAACAATGGCAGATCCTTTTCGATGTATCCAGATGCCAGAGCCAGTAGTCCGGTGGCTGTGTGGGTTAAATGAGCCGAGTGGAGTGGTAGGGCTGCGGCAGCGATGAGCCAGGCGTCTAGGAAGTCCGTCTATTTCCGCGGCAGGGCGAGTATAGGACCACCAATTTTCAGGAAATGCACTTAAATTCCATTACTGTTTTTGGTTTAGGTTCGCTGCGGGTCCAATGAAGAAAGGTCTGATAACGGCAGCACGCTTTGAACTGGCCTGATACACTTAGTGTGAGACCATCATCTGGGTTTCACACTAGTCGCCGATGGTGTTGCCGCTCCTGCGTTTTGCCTTGCCTCGCCTGCCCAGCCCTATGAATGGAGCTGTCCCTCCGCAAAAAAAAAAAAAAAAAAAAAAAGCAGCAGTAGCTGAAGTGGGCGTTCACAACAGCTCAGCTCGGGCCTAGCAAACATGTACGCGTCCGACGTTTACGACGTAACACCGGCGAGAAAAAATTCGAATAAGATGCCCGCTTCGATAGACGTTGCACCCGTTATGGCGTAATGGTTAAAGAGCTTTTCACAGCACTACTTGAGCTAGACAGTTGGCTAATTTATTAGCAATATTGGGATTTAAAAAAAAATCATAGGGGATGTAAATACTGGATGTCCACTCCCTCCTTCCATGAGTATACTGTGACCACTGTTTGGATGTAAATACAAGACTATTTTTAACCTAGAAGCCCTAAAGTCTGTCCATTTAAAGCACAGACCTCTATTACGTATTTGAGCAAACCATTTATTTTTTTTTCTTTTTATAGATAGCTCAATCTTCGCAGGTATCTTATATGACTGACTACAAGGTGGAAGGTGTCTTAGTGTTATGTAATACACATCTGGTACTTCGCAAACAGCGCATGCCACAATAAAACTACAATACCCACGAAGCACCAAGAAGACGGTTGACGTTAGATTACAATGGCTCATGGGAAAGTGGAAATACAAGAATTGTAAACGCCAACATTTCGTATGTACACATGAAAGTTGAATTATTCACGGGACCAAATATCTATATCTATCTTTTTAAAACGAACACATCAACAACTTTTGAATGTTCCCTTAACCTTAGTTAATACCGCCTTGCCCGGTAGCTAAAAAAAACTACAACTCCCAGCAAAAGATTTAACCGGAAGTAGAGTCGAAATGTCAACAGATACATGGAGCTGTCGACATGAAACAGACGATCTTTTTTTAATTACAAAACGTAGCTTTAATGTTTAAAAAAGTCAGTTGAGGATGAGAGGCGGTATTGTTAAAGTCTTGTCCTTTTTTCTGTTGTTCGTAAGTTTTTGTGCGTCAGAGCGAGCAGAGAGGGAAAACTCACTTGCCTTGCATGAGAGAGATGACGATGGAGGAAATGTGAACCAACAGGACAATATTATAGCCGAGGAAGGGCAGTCAGTAGAAAACCATGAAACAGAACATGGTTCGAACCTCGATTCAAACGAATTACAGAAGGATGGGTCATCGGTCAGGTCAGAGACGGCAAAAACTAATTTCAGTACTCTCTCTGGATTAACTTGGCATATTGTACCTAGCTAGAAGTAGTTTCAGTAGTTTGGCTTGTACACGGTACAAGCCTAATCATTTTTTGTATGGATGCCAAATAAATATTATACTTTCTAATATTACAAGTACAAAAATACACAGACAAACATAATTTCACCAAAACAAAATCTGTATCCCATCTGTTTAAACTGGGTAAATGTTTTTATGTGCTCCATTCAGCTCTACCTAACTTAAACTTAGACTAGATCAAAATGGCAGCTGTTTAAATGCAAGACGTAACTGAGCCATATTGAGATAACTGACATAGTCACCTCTGAATCTAATCTGTCTGTCGCCTTGCAGTAAGTCCAATGACACCACCGACAACTACTACAATGACACCCTTCACTCAACAACAACTACTGTCAAGCCAACTACCCCGGCACCCCCAACAGTCAAGCCCATTCTGCCAGTGCAGACAGGGGTTAAGGCCCAAGAAGAAGAACAGTCCAGTGGGATGACCATATTCTTCAGCCTGCTTGTTATTGGTTAGTGTGTTTTCACCCATCACCGAATAAGTCTGACTCCATATTGTCTGTCAAGATCACTGTTTGTCTGAGCAAACAGGATAGACCAAAAGAAGTAAATTGTTTTACAGCAGGAAATCTGCATCTTGTGGTTAACAAAGCATGCATAATTCATCCCGTACCCATAATAATGGAGAACCAATTTAGTGTTTTATTAAATCAAGTTTGTAGATGGGGATCTAGGATGATACCAGTGCATATAGAGGATGTGGTTACACACTGAATGGACATGAAGTACCATCCAAAGTAGCCATTATGCACATTAGTCCACTATCTCGCTGTCAGATTATAAACCAAGATACTATCATGAATGACACATGTACTTACTATTTAGACTGATTTACACTGCGAAAGCATGCAGTTTTAGTTGTAAACTAAGAAAACATCTCATTGGTTTAAAGAAACATATGGAAAAAAATGTTTACTAAACTAGGAAAATGGAAAAATTATCTCAGAGAGCAGTTTAGAAGCCACATAGTTGTATATGTTGTAACGTTGCCTCTCATTACCTTGCTGCATGAATGAATTTGGCCTCGGGGTGATCGTGGCTCAAGAGTTGGCAGTTTGACTTGTAATCGGAAGATTGTCGGTTCGAGCCCCGGCTTGTACAGTCTCGGTCGTTGTGTCCTTGGGCAAGACACTTCGCCCGTTGCCTACTGGTGGTGGTCAGAGGGCCCAGTGGCGCCAGTGTCCGGCAGCCTCGCCTCTGTCAGTGCGCCCCAGGGTGGCTATGGCTACAATGTAGCTTGCCGTCACCAGTGTGTGTGAATGAGTGGATGACTGAATGTGTAAAGCGCTTTGGGGTCCTTAGGGACTAAGTAGAGCGCTATACAAATACAGGCCATTTAATTCAGCATTTCCCATATGACTAATAATTCAGGTTTAATCAGTAAATCTCTCCTGGATTCAGTGTCCAAGAAATTAAATTAAATTATTAAGAAATTTAATTGGAGCTCAATGGTACTCTTCGTCTCTCATTGACATCCCTGTGCATTTGGTTACTGGAAGGAAGGCAGCTTGAGAAAAGATGACAATACTGTAATATTTGGGAGACGGTGTGATTTTATTAACATGGATGTATGTTTCTCTTAACACTCACCCCCAGGTATTTGCATCATATTGGTGCACCTGCTCATCAAGTTCAAGCTGCATTTTCTTCCAGAGAGTGTGGCTGTTGTGTCCTTAGGTAAGTACTGCTTATGTATTATATTTGTAATTGCATTTGGCATCATACTAAAATTTTAACATCATAAGTGTATTTGTCCAAGTAATTAAAGTAGAATTTTATTTCTTGTTATCTGTCATATTTATGTTTACATTAATGGAGGTTCACCAAAAAAATTATATTATGTCAACATATTTCCATTTAATTTAAAAACCACCAACCAGGCCAGAAATTTGGGTGTAGTGATGGACTCAGACCTAAACTTAGAAAAACACATTAAGACAATATGATGTCTCAACAGGACCTGGAAAAACTAGTCCATGCATTCATCTTTAGCAGGCTTGATTACTGTAACAGCATCTTTACAGGTCTACCTAAAAAATCAGTCAGACAACTACAGCTCATTCAGAACTCTGCTGCTCGAGTCCTCACTAAGTCCTTACACTGGCTGCCTGTCCGTCAGAGGATGGACTTTAAAGTTCTGATGCTGGTCTATAAAGCTCTGAATGGTTTAGGACCAAAGTACATCAGTGACCTCCTGACCCAGTATGAACCTTCCAGATCCCTCAGGTCATCTGGATCCGGTTTTTTATCAGTTCCCAGAGTCAGAACCAGACACGGAGAAGCTGCATTCAGCTTTTATTCTCCATATATCTAGAACAAACTCCCAGAAAGCCTCAGATCATCTGAAACATTCAGTTTATTTAAATCCAGTTTGAAGACTCACCTGACTCAGCTGCATTTGAATAAAGCACCAAATTCGCATTGTTTTGTTTTTAAGCTTAAATTTCAAAACTTATATTTTAACTACTGATTTTATCTACTGCTCCTTTTTTTCATCTTAAATCATCCTTTTTATTTGTTTTTGTTTTGTTATGTCTCTGTAAGACACTTTGAATCACCTTGCTGTTGAATTTTGCTATATAAATAAACTTGCCCTGCCTAATTTAGATAAAACACTTAGCCTTCAGACTTATCTGAATTTTAGCATTTTACAATGAACGTTCTGTAAGGAACTTTATTATGTCAAAGAGGGTAATCCTCAATTGGATATTAAGAGCTCATGGCAGTGCAGCCTCAGCCATCTAATGTTTGAACCTTCTGTTTGTGAGGAGCAGCCAAACAGAAGTAATTTTCCTTCAAATCGGTGTGGCCTTAAAGGCAGAAGAGCAGAAATGGCTTATTTCAGACAGTAGATGAATTGCACCAAAGCATATGGATTGTTTTAAACGTTGAGATGTCTTTGCATTCTTGTTAAAAACATGAGTCAGTAGCTTGTAGAAGAACCTTTCCAGCAAAAACTTGGAAGTAATTGATTTTTGTATAAATGAACAGTCTCTCGTAGCATTGTGGAGGAATTTCTTTACAACGTTGCTTCAGCTCATTGAATTTTGCTGGAATTTCTTCACGCACAGCTCTGTTAAGGATTGCAATCAGGTTGACATCTGAACTTTGATTGGGCCATTGCAGCGCCTTGATTCTTTTTTTTTTTTTTCAGCCATTCAGTCCTTTTCCATGAACCAATTTTGGCCAACCTTTAACTTTCATGTAGATAGCCACATATTTAAAGCAAAAATACTTTGGTAAACAGAGGAGTTCACAGTTGACTCCACAACAGCATGGTACCCAGATCCTGTGGCTGCAAAACAAGATCAAATCATTTTTAAAGAGAAGTGGCTTCTCCTGGCAGCTGTTAAAAGCAAGCGGTATTTGTTCAGTCTTTTTCTAACACGCTTCACTCAGGGCTGTAGTGTCTGAGATGTAGCACTTGGGTTAACATCCCAGGCTTCAGCTTTTATAGAGGTAACACACACTTGCTGATAAACAGTTAATCAGACATATTACCTCTTTTGTTGTACATGTACAATTACAGTAAAAGTCTATTCTATTCATTTTTATGTTCATTCTTATGGCAGCATTAAGGGGGGGAATTCGTTTTTCACAAGACTTCATATATTACTCATATGTTCTATACACACAGAGAGACTCAATTTTCTTCTGTGTTATGCAACAAAATGAAACAAAGGGTAGACGACCTAAGGGAAATCGTTTTTCTTTAGGTTGTCTGTGTGATTTAAGATGAGCAAACACTAACTCATTGGTGCCATTTGCAGCCTTATTCAATATTTAAGAAGTACTTAATTAAAAAAACAAAAAACAAAAAAAAAAACAAGATGTATTTCATTTTTCTCCTGAGGTGCAGCTTTGCTTCCTCTGTGCAGTCGATTTAGGTTAATTCTCGTTCTAATTCTCTCCACCAGCTTCCTCTTTACATGTCTGTGCAGTTACACTCGCTATAATTCAGTGACACCCATCTGTCTTCACCCTGAAGGCCTTTTGCTTTTGCACGACCTGCTTGCTGCATATAAGACAGGCCTCGTCACAGGGGACTCTGCTGAAGAGAGATAACACACTGCTTACAAATCAGAAAAGGCTGCTTTTCCTTCCTCATCACTTCCTTTTTCCCCATCTATTCTTTGTATGTCTTCCTCTGCACTATCACTCTCCATCTGCCAATATATCTAGAACTTACACACAGCTTTGAGGCTCGTGTTTAATTTCTGTCTTCATCTTATCTATCTCCTTTTCTCGACTCTTTACAAAGCTTTGTGTTTCATCACCCTTTTAATTAATGTTCTGCTGGGTTGTGTAGAAAGAGAACTGAAGCCCCAGCAGGATGTTCTCAAAGACAAAAGTATAACCATAGCTCTTTTAAACAAGTTATAATTGAACTATGATGACATTTATGAGGTATTTACTGTAAACCACTAAAATAGCATGTGTTGCGTGATTTTCATGAAATTAAGTAGTAAACTTTTTTTTTTTTCAAACACTGGTATTTCCTTACTCTTTCCAGGGATTCTAATGGGAGGCTTCATTAAGATCATTGAGTTCCAGGAACTGGCCAACTGGAAGGTATAGTTTTACTGGGTTTCAACATGTTTTTTTTCTTCTGTCAGCACTGCACTTGGTCCAAATTTAAAATGTAGCTTTTTTGGTTTTGATTACTTTAGCATTAGGTAAAATAATCACATTTGTCTACACTGCAAGCACACAAACAAATACACATATGCAGTGCATGTCCACAGCTTAACCCATAGCAACCTTTCTTATCTCCACGCTGCACTCACTGCTCTCAGATTCAAAATGTGTGGTTCTTAGTTTTGCTTGATTTTCTTAGAGTGGAGTAAAATAATTACATTCCCACAAACGCACAAAAAATATACAAAAGTATTCTCTAAAACCTTTGCCCATTTTATACTTTGGATAGATACAGTGATTGATCATATTTAGTGCAGTTGCATTCCTACGTAATGCACAGTCTTGTAACTTGTAATGCAACAAATTCCATAGAAAATCCCTTCCCACACCTGCCCAAAACATCTGCTTTCATTTTTCATCTTTGCGTCGTATTTCTTTCTTCTCTCATTCATTAATTTCCTGGTTCCTGTTGTCACAAATGTCATCATTCATATCATGCAAACTTTGTTATCGACCTGTGACATGCACCATTTTTGTGCTTGGTATGCCCCCCCCCACAAGCCTTTTCCCCCCCGCAGTTCTCGGACCCTTTAATTAACATTCCCTGTTCTCTGCCAGTGAGTTAGAAAACAAGTGAACAGGAGAGGCACAGGGAAGGATATGCAGAGTGAAAGGGAGGCAGGAAAAGAGGACAGGTTATGCCAATGTTTCTTGCACACAGGGTCCCATTGTCTTTTAAGCTTGGAGCCCCCAGGGTATTGCTGAGTCATCTACATTAGTAACCAGAGCCCCTGGAGCCCCTTTCCACACATTGCCCCAGTCCTGTAAATCTCTAGACTGCTATGTCTGTATTTGTGTTTAAGTTGTAGCAAACAAGCCTGCTCTCCTGTCTATGTCTAGGCAGCAGTGACTTCAATAGTAGTAAAGTAATATGAATTACACTATGGCTTGCAGCTGCTTCTTTGCTGGAGCATGGATATGCTAAGTGGTTTATAGCCCATTTGAGACCTGAAAAGACCTAGGACACAATGCAAATGAATTATGTCTGACCTATTTGTTTTTTAAAAAGCTTCCGTGAAGCACGATAAAACCAGTTTGAAGTAAGATTGCCAGTGGCAGAACTGGGCTTCTGTAAGCATTTTTTTTTATTGTTTACTTTTAATTGCAGCTGTTTTGAAACTGTACATTTGTTTGTAGGTTTGTGCTTTATTTTTATAATTAATTAAAGGGATCTGTTCTCCCTGATCAATGTCTTTTGGTAGCTGCCTGTAAGGCTGGCGCCACCTCATCCAACTAGAGCATTTCTACAGCTGGCCCACTTGGTTAATCTCGCCAGCCTGGAGGACTGCCCTATACCCTGCCTGAAGGGTGTACAACTCCCTCAGGCAGCAGCATCCTGTTATTGCTGGATTTGCTCTTTCCTTTTTACCACCGATCTGCTGTCTTTGCTTTTGACAACTGAGCTTTCTATCTTCAGTGCACTCACTACAACCCACCATACAAAGAGAGCCTTTTCCTGTGTGCTTTTTTCTAGCACATGCAGGGAAGGCCTCTCTGTTTTTTCCTTATACTTACCTTCATCCCCCCCATCTCTCCCATGTTTTCTGACACAGATTGTGGAAGTAGCATGCTGGTATTAAGTATTACAATCGTAGAAATTTGTCTCATCGCCAAAACAGAGAGAGATAAACAAGAATATTTGTACTCCAAACAAGACCTCTCTCTCTGTTTAAGCTTTTCTGTATTGTCCTATCTGGGCTTGTCACTTTGCTTCAGTGGCAGCAGTGGTGTGTTTTAGCCCCAAAGGGCTGCACATATTTTATTAGATGTCTCCCACGCCACGGAGAGAGAGAGCGACAGAATGAGAGAAGTTTTAATTGTGGTTTTAGGGGCTTTTTTGTGCTTTTTTTTTATGTGGTGATTTCACCGGTTGTCAAAATCAAGCCTCCAGGGACCCTGTACTATAAATGAAGGTCTCTTCAACATCTGCACTCATATTTTTTGTTATCTCTCAACTCTCTTTTAACTGTGTTCTCTTCATCTTTGGCATTCATCTTTTCTCATTTAGTTCAAGCTCTGTATCAGCTCTTCTCCCGAGTATACCCATCGTCAGCTTTCTGGTTTTATCCATTTCATCTTTCCTTTCAGCTTCTGAAATCTCATTACTCCTCATCAGTCCATAACTTTCTCCAGTTTCAGGAGGAGATTGCAGTGCTATCTTGCCTAAAGTCTAGTGCTTTGTCAGTCAGTGTAAATGTAACGCCCAACAACATTTGTTTGTCCCAAAATTCTAAAGAACAATTCTTTCTCCTTTAGACTGTTTTATTTAACAATTTATTTAATTGTTTTATTCATTGATAAATATTATTTATTGCACTCCACTTTTAACCAGTCTCTTACCTGCAAAGTAATGAGAATCCTTTATGTATGTGTAGAGAAAAACCAATGTGTACTTGTTCAGTCCTCCCAGTTGGCATTTTTATTAGCATTAAAGGAACACGTGCATTGGTGCCTTGGGAGTACAGTGGTAGACGTCAGGTCGCAGTGCACGCATGGCATACTTTCATGTGTCTCTGGTGTTAATATTCATTCCTGAGCACCTGGCCTGAAGACTTCTGCTTGACCTAAATGTCGAGAGAAACTGGTAACCTGGAAGCAAGAGTTGGTCTACTTTTCCTGAAATTTGAATGTTTTGGAAAAACAAAGTAAGCAAGGGCATAGCCTTTTAGCATAAGCATACAGTACATCCTCCGCAGGCTGTCCTCAGTGCTTGACCCTCTGTGCTTGTAGCCATGGTTTTGTTGATATTGAGAAATTTACCGTCTGAACTAAAATGACTGCTCCTGCACCCACACGTTTGGTTTCTTTTTTTGTGGTTCTGTCTCATCTTATATCACTCCAGTTATACTCTTTTAATTCTAAATAATTACTTAGAAAGGGAAAAAACAAATACCTAAAAGCAGAAGATTATGCAAGAAGTTATGCCAGCATATTTTCAATTAAAATATGCTGGCATATTTTAATTGAAAAGTTCTTAAACCTTTTTATTAACTACTTAATAAAAATAAGTAGTTAATAAACTACTTATCGTGTTTGATAGCAAATTCTATAAAAATAGTGTCTCAAATGGTAAATTGGAGGATTGTGGAATGGGATTGTGTATGTGAGAAAAAAGTTACGCACTCAGGTGTTGCCGGCCTGTTGCAATACTTTCCAGGAAAGCCACATCAAGTGTGGAAATAACTGTCTAAACGTCCATCTGCTAATGGGGTTGTTGGGATTGAAATTCAGGTTCAACCAGCCGTCATGACAGGCTTTCATAATACAAAGAGGGAGATTGTTGACTGAGTGCTGTAAATATGGCTCTGCCTTTTTCAAACTTTCTAACAGAAGCAACCGCCGTGTCAACCGCTCAGAAATATAACTTGTGCATGAACATTTATTAATGCATACTGTGTGTTGACACACCCGTCCAAACACACTTTGGCTAACACAAGAACACACGGTGCATGATGCACAGACACATTGGCAGCTAGAGCGTAAGGCATGGGCACATGATGCCTGTGCCTGATCTTGGAGGCTGGCCCAGTTAGCTGAGAAGCAACAAAGATTGCATTATTTTGCTGAAATAATCAGAGAGCCAAGGTCCCTGTGTGTGTGTGTGTGTGTGTGTGTGTGTGTGTGTGTGTGTGTGTGTGTGTGTGTGTTCTTGTTTATATGAACGATGAGCTCACAGCCTGTTTACAGCATGTTGAAGTGAGCATGTTTAAAAGCTTCTATAGAATGGTGAGTTGCCTAATAGGAAGGCAGGGCAGGCGGTCCTTAGACAAATACCTGTTGGGTGTGTGTGTGTGTGTGTGTGTGTGTGTGTGCTCATTGTTGAGGAGTCGACATCCAAATTTGTTTTGTCAGATAAAGAGCTGTAACTATAACAGCTCAGGCAGTCCCCCTCGCCCTCACCGTTTCTCCTCCCCCATGACTCATTAGGTCAGCTGATGGTCACTGTACCGGCTTTCATGTGTCCGATGAATAATGTGGAGTGTTTGTTGAATGTGTAACCACAAGTTAGTGTTTTATCATTTACTGGCATGTACATACTTTTTGCGTTAACAGTATTGCTAAGAATTCCTGTTTAGATTAACAATGTCAAATGTGTAACAGTCCAAATTATTTAAGTGCTGTTTTTCTTTGACTAGCACAGTTACATTTCCCTTTAACGTTTTCAAATGTTTTCTTTAAATTTGAAACTATGACTCAATGCTTGCACATGTCTCACTTTACAGTAATGACACTTGCAATTGTACTTGTACCTCATCAGTTTGTTACTATTGACCAGTTTGCAGCTCTAATCCAAGGTTAAAGGCAGCATTTTGTCGCCTCTCTGCTGCAGTTTATTTACCAATAAAATGTTTTGTTTTTTATTTTCCTAAAAGGAGGAGGAAATGTTCAGACCCAACATGTTCTTCCTTTTGCTTTTGCCACCCATCATCTTTGAATCTGGATACTCTTTACATAAGGTATGTGTGTGTATGAGGCTGGATTTACACAACCAGCACCCTCGTGTTCTTAGAACAGTACAAACCACCACATATATTTATAAAGGACAAAACTGACCTTTAGGCGTGACGGAATAAGATTCATGAGACCAAACGTCTGAGCAACCCAGCAATAAGCTGGAGCCTTTTAGTATGTGTGTTACATTTACAAATGCAGTACCTACAAATCATTCAAAAGCAGCAAGAGGCTTAAGCAGGTCACCTGTTTGTGTTTTCTGTTTTGATAATTGAGTTTTTGCTCCCTTTGTTTTTATTTTATCAATATTTTATTTATTTTTTACATTATTAACTGGCTTCATTTTTTCCAAACAACTAAAAGGTCACAGTCTTTTTAGTTTTTTACAACTCTCTGTGAAATTATGCTATAATTTTTTTTGCTGGCAGTATCTAATACTTAACCTGCATGTTCTTGTGTCTTCAGGGTAACTTCTTCCAGAACATTGGTTCCATTACCCTCTTTGCTGTGATCGGCACAGCTATCTCTGCCTTCATAGTTGGAGGAGGCATCTATTTCCTTGGCCAGGTGATGTTTCTATTAATCTAGTAATCAACACAGGCCCGTGGCACACAGCCCTCATTCAGTTAAAGAGTATGTGACCTCATGATATAATATTTTCAATGTTCTGTCAAGGTTTTGTTAGTACAGGAAATGTTTAATGGGATATGCTCAAAAATAAATTATTGCTGCATCACCATTATCACTTTCTTATTGTACAAATCTGTAACACTGATATCGACGTAATCAGATGTTTTCTTGCAGCTTAACAATCTGGGGTTTTGTTTTTTTGTTTTTTTTGATAACCTTCCTCACAGGCTGATGTTATCTATAAGATGACCATGACTGATAGGTGAGATTTTTTTCTAAGCATTTACTGTGAGCTTTCTTACTTCATTGTGATGGAATTTTTCTGTGTCAGATAAAACTTGGCTCAGTTTTGCTGACAGGTGTTAAGCCTAGTCTTGGACTAAACATGTATTTCACTGATGAAATCACATACTGAGCTGAGATCATTTTCTGCTAGTGTGAATTCTTTGAATTTACCATTTTTACATGAGCCACAAAAGGTCAAAACTTACTCACTAGTGTAACTTACTCACGTGGGAAAATTAACAAATTTCCCACGTGAGGGACTAATAAAGATTATCTTATCTTATTCTTTTTTTCCCCCTCTATTCTTAATAACACCCTCTTCCTACTTAGTTTGAACTGTGCCCTCTACATCTGAAGGGTTTGTCTTTTAGGAGTTCAAAGTAACAGGATAATCCACCTACCAGAGACATATCCAGTACAAACACAGCATGTTACTCCACACCCATGTGTTTTTTCTAGCAACTAGCACATTCCGGCAGTACTTTAGCCTACGTATTTTATTTGTTTTTGAATGAAACAAAGAAAATAACTCAGAAATAACTTAAAGGAGTTTACATTTGGGGGATTTTTTAGAATGTAGGGTACATAGCTCAATAGATTTTCTGATGGAACGTCCCAATACAGCCTCTTGACTTCTTGAGTAATTGCTCCATTTTTACACCTGTTTCTGCGGTTTTTTGTTTAGTTGGTTTTTTTGTCAGTTTTTTTTCCCAGGAAACTTTTGATAATCTTTTAATGTTTTATTTTCCTAGTACTAAAGTGTGCTACTTTGTATGCATTCGGACTCCTTTAAAGTCAGAGAAAGTAAAAATCATATTTCTTGTCTCCTGCTTCCTCTTATTTATTTTGGAAATGTTTTTCCTCTTTTACTGCCCACATGTGTTTGTGTCTTAATTTCTTTTATGAATGAAGTAAATCGTTCTCATTCCCTTCTACTTTGCTGTAGCTTTGCCTTTGGCTCACTGATCTCAGCCGTGGACCCCGTAGCTACCATTGCCATATTCAATGCACTCAACGTGGACCCAGTCCTTAATATGCTGGTGTTTGGTGAAAGCATTCTCAACGATGCTGTCTCCATTGTCCTCACCAAGTAAGGACACTCCTTCATGACTTGAATATTCTCCATTGCACACACTGGCACATTTACATTTTCCCAGTCTTTATCAAAAAGTAGGCCTAAGGACAGCATGCATAGAGTCTGCACTCTGCAGATGTTATACAAGGGTTAGATGTACAACACAACATAGCGTCTTAAAATCTAACAGCAACTGAGGCCAAATCCAAACTTCTGTTTTCATATTAAAACAGCTTTTTACATTGATCACTGTACAGATGAGGTTTATTTAATAACCTTGGCATGTAGGCACTACTAGCATGATAAAGCAATAGCTGCTGTTGGCATTGATAAGTTCAGCAGTGCCTGTAATTCTTTATCCATGCTGAATTAACCACTGTTAGTAGAGGGCTGATTTAATGTGTTTCTACTGGAAAAGTTCTATGTGACAGGGGCTTCACAAATCAAGGTATGACGAATAGTGAATATGGATGCTTCTAAAACTCTCTTTTTCTGTTTGTTCAGACTAAAACAATTTCTAGCTAATATGGGTCAGCAGGATTTCCAAAAGTCTCAATGTTTCAATTCTTAAAACACTTGACTGGGTCCCATGTTTAATTATAGTAAAAATTGTTTCAAATGAAAACATATTAGTATGCCCAACTTGCTTGACTGTGATCACCTCATTAAGGTCCATTAAACTAGACACATGGGGGATAAGATATTTCTTGTGGCATTTTGTGGTCTGTAATAGACATTTACTGTGGCAGTCATATAACAACAAATAAAGATCCCCAAATGCTCATAGAAATCAGCAAAAAATTACATGTTTCAAAACATCACAAGTACTACACTTCTAAGATTACTTTCTTTCAAAGTAATTCAACATTTGTTACAAGCACGGACTGCTATTAGTTCATTCAAATTGCTTTTACAGGTACCAGTTAGACAAAATGCAAACAAATACTAGCTATAAAGTGGGATCAGAATAGCAGTACCTGCTTTTAGCTGAAATCATATTAGCCCATTACAGCACTTACTGAACTGCAGCTCTCCTGATCAGTTTAATTTTATTCAATCATATTGTTGGTGCATAAAATAAGCTTAACATTTTTTCCCATTTTGAAACAAAGGCCATCGAGTTCACGAAAGAAGAGAAGGAAATGCGATCATTTTAAAGTAAACGGTGGCATTTCATTTACAAGAAGACCATGAAGTTAACATAAACATTAGCCATTGTTTATGTTCGGACACACTGGCAACCTGGCCAAGGTGTACCCTGCCTCTCATCCTATGGCCACTGTGATAGAGGCTTTAGCTCCTCCGCACAACCCTGCATTGGGTCTTGAGAGAGAATGGGTGGTGGATTAGGTAATAATGCAGTTATTACTGCGAAAATCTTCACAAGCATATTTCAAACAACTTGCTCTTACATCCTGTAAGAGGATGTATGAGCAAGTTGTCATTTTTCTAAATTGGGTGGTGTATTGCACTTTGAACAAAACAGGAAACAATAGCATGATCTGCCAACCACAAGAGTTACAATCTATATACAATCTATACAACTCTGTGAAAAATACATCAAGTAACACAATAAAGATCTACTGATGTATATGTATAAAATGCCTACATTTTCAGTATTTTTTTAAATTAAATTTCAGTTCAGTTTTCTTTATATAGCGCTTCATTCATAACAGCACTCAACTCAGGATCTCGGGGCATATGTATTTGTATAGCCTGCTGTCTCACGTTATACTAAATACTGATGTTTGCAATAGTGAGGAGAAAAAAAACTATTCTAACAAGAAGAACATTCTTGAACCAAGCTCAGATAGGACAGCCACCTGCCTCGACCAGGTTACATGAGGAGAAAGCAAGGAGAGAGAGAGAGAGGGATATTTTTCATATTAAAACATATACTCATGTGCTCTTGTGCTGACTTATATTGTCCTCAAGGCTTAATTATTTGGTTGAGTGCAGTAGACCTCTTAAACACACCAACAGTAACACACCGGTGGCTTAAAATTTTGATGTCAGGCATTTTCCAACCTTTGAACTTGACCTAGTTTTTGCAGATGACTCATTTTGCTTTCATGGGTAAGACTGAAGAGGATAGAAATAGCAATATATTTTGATTTTATAGACATTAAATTACTGGATGTGAGCAGGCTGCCATCAAAATCGGGAAAAGGATGAAACCCAGTGGCTGGAAGGCTGAAAGTGGTCAATGTCTGAACTTATCACTGAAGTTTGTCTTGGCACACCTTTAGATTTTCTTCAGAATATCTGCTACTCAGAATGTTTATCTAGTTTCTACTGTTATTATCTGCTTACTGACTACCTCAGACAGGCGACAGAAACTTGACAGACAAGTTTGACAGAAACAGTGTTCGGGTTTCCTGTTCACACACTAGCTTCAGTATCTGCACTCCCTTTATTGCTCCTTATCTCTCCTACTCACTACAGGATAAATGTGCAAAGTGATCTTAAGTATCCGGGTGTCTCTGAGGTCTAAATGAGTGCATAAATAATAAATAGGCTGACTGAGCAGCCCTGGCAGTGTGCTTATTGTTAGCACCCAACAAAGTGGTTTTCTTAGAAAGCAATCATGTAGTTTGGCCCAGCCATTTCCAAACGCCACGCAGAAGCTAATGCTTTACCTTGGAAGGCTGTTAATAAACATTGTGATTATAAATAGGATGTAAACTGTGAATCCAGCTAAACTAATATTTATGAAATACACAACATGCAACATTTTTGGTGCCAGCACCAAGATAATCATTTGTCACGCTATAAGAGATTTTGGTGTTTCTGGTAATCACAGATCACAGTAAATGTTTGGGAACTTTTGTCTTACAGTTTGTTTCTTATTGTGATGAAAATAAAGAAACAAGTTGAAATGTATGGTACAAATATCTCAGTTGAACCAACAGGATAGTTGCAGTATGCCTGCTCTCTCCAGCTCCTAATTTTGGTGGAGTGTTTCTGCCCTCTAGTGTCAACTGAAGATATTACGAGACTAAATGCATCACAGTGCCACTGAGATTTAATTTGTTACTTTCCTCCCTTTTTTGTTTTTCAGCACAGCGGAGGGTTTCTTTTCCCGCTCAGACAACTCCACGGTAACAGGCTGGGAGACTTTTCTACAAGCTCTGGGTTATTTCCTTAACATGTTTTTCGGTTCTGCTGCACTGGGAACCCTCACTGGACTCATCTCAGCTCTTGTATCCAGCCGCCATTCTCCTTGCATGTGTTTGTACTTTATATGTGTGAGAATTGTATTTTCTGGTCTGGCCTTATTTCAATTCCCTAACTTACTGAATCAGTTTCTGAAACACTTTGACCTGAGGAACACGCCATCGCTGGAGTTTGGGATGATGATCATCTTTGCCTATCTTCCCTATGGACTGGCAGAGGGAATCAAATTGTCTGGTGGGTCAATACAATCACATGCACATAATGAATACATGAATAGTTTTGTATGTTTGACTTTTCCTCTGACCTCCATCTCCCATCTGTTTCCACCTACAGGAATAATGTCTATCCTGTTTGCGGGAATTGTGATGTCTCACTACACCCATCACAACCTATCTCCTGTCACCCAGATCCTTATGCAGCAGACACTGCGCACTGTGGCCTTTATGTGTGGTCAGTAGATTCTCGCTTAGCATCCCAGTTCACCGCTGGCTGTCATTATCAGAAGTTTTCACTGCTTTCTTAACTTCTTTCTCCAGAGACGTGTGTGTTTGCGTTCCTCGGCCTCTCCATCTTCAGCTTCCCTCATAAATTTGAAATGTCATTTGTAATCTGGTGCATAGTAAGTTGTCTTTTATTGATGTCATTTTAATCTGTCTGCTTATTCCCACGGTAATCAGGAATGACAGCTGTTCTCTCTCTGTAGGTCCTGGTTCTTCTTGGCCGTGCTGTGAACATCTTCCCTCTGTCATTTTTGCTGAACTTCTGCAGGGACCACAAGATCACACCTAAGATGATGTTCATCATGTGGTTTAGTGGTGAGATGACATGACTAATGTGTTTCGTTAATTACAGGGCGTCATCTTTTTATTGGTGTCTAAAGCACACTCATTACACTAACACAGTGCGCACATCTCCGGCTGCAAATGAAAGTAGAGTTTGTGTTATTCTGCAGCTGTTGTGGAAAATCGGTTGCGTTTATCACATTTTTGATAGAACATGGACTGATTTTAGCTTATCCTTATCAAAAGAATGTCTGATTTCTTTTTCTCTGCTTTATAATATAAAAATGAATTCATAATCGATGTTTTTTGGCTGGGTAAAACTTAGTGTCCCAGAACGCTTCTACATGCTGCATGTGAGATGCATCGTCAAGGTCAGAGGTCAAATTTTCTGAAATTCTTGTGAATGCGACAGCTAGTGAAAAAAGAAAAGCATCACTGAAGCAGCATTTTCTGTATTCAAAGATTAATATAGTCACTGACTTCTGTGTAGTTATTTAGAGATCAAATGAATATTTTGCTTCGACTTTATTTTTTAACTCGCAACAGAAGTGAATAAACCTGTGATTTCTGTGAGGTCGGACAATAAAATTTGTCGACTGCATCAAAAGTGCCTGTAGGAGTAACAAAGTACTGCTTAACAAGATGACTTCCAGTCTCAAGACTCTTTAGCAGCAAAATATTTTATCGTGATAATTTTGCAAAGAGTTTCTGAAGAATTGAAAACTGACCAGAACAAGCAGGCTGAGTGTTGTGGAATGCAGTCGGGGTAGTTGAAAGAGAGAGTTAGAGGAACACACCACTACAGCAAAGAGCATCTGAAAAAACGTCTCTAAAGATAGTCAGAAAATCTCTCCAGAAATTTCTGCTATGATGCTATCTATCGTGCTGAGGAGGTCTGAGTCTGTCATTGAAAATAAAGGTGGTATGAAGCACTGAAGCAGTAAACTTTTTTAGCAAAGACTTCACACTGTGGTGCCTGTTTAGTAAGTCTAAACTTCTAGTTTTTGATATAGCAGACAACCATTGTCCTACTGTTTTTGAACACAATAAACATCATTTAACTAAACAGAGACGTGCTCCTGTTGTATATCTTGTGCATTAAAACTAAAATGTGGAAAAAGTCAAAACACATCGAGCTTTATATGATAACCATTTCTTGTGAAAGCCATTATGCTAAATGTTTTCTTTTTCCATTCATTCTGCTTTTTTTCCCCCCTTCTTTGCTAGGTTTGCGAGGTGCTATTCCCTATGCCTTGAGCCTTCATTTGGGTTTGGAACCCATTGAGAAGCGTCAGCTAATCGGCACCACCACCATCATCATCGTGCTCTTTACCATTCTTTTCCTCGGGGGTGGCACCATGCCACTCATCCGCATCATGGACATTGAGGATAGCCAGTCACGGCGTAAAAACAAGAAGGACGTCAATCTCAGCAAGACACAAAAGATGGTAATGATTGAAGCACCCAGGGTTCTAGCACACGGAGGGCACACAGAGAGTTTGTTGTCTGTATTGGTACTAGCTGCGCCATCCTCTCATCTGCCATCAGGCTCTTTCTGCGCACTTCAGAGGGAAAAAACATCAAAGGGTTGATTGTGAAGGACACTGAATCAGTGAGGGGGAATGGACTGCTATCATAGAGATTCACACTTGAAAACACCAAACCTCTGACAGGCACAAATAGACCTTAGCCAGTGGCACTAATACATTTTTTTCCCCAAATCAAGCTCTTGTGTTTAATATTTCAGTTAACTGTATTAGCTCTAGCTCAATATAATGGGTCATTCTTTTGAAGTAGATCCTATTATTGAGGTCATTTGAAGCTAATGGTGGTGTGTTTTCATGACTTGCATGTATAGTATTTGCATGTTTGATGTCTTCCAAAGCTAAGTGTTACCCCCTGAGGTGCTAGCTGCGAGATCTATCAAATCCCCATTTTTCCTTACGGGTCTCCAGCCCTCTTTGATGTAATTCACTCTTTGGTCCCTTTGCTCTTTCCCTCTCGTCTTTGTTCCTTCTGTGTGTGATCTTGACTCACCAGTCTCACCGCTTTTCTGCCATTTGAACTTTTTCCTGCGTTCATCTTTTTCTCCTCCTTGCGTTGTTGCCCCCTCTAATTTAATTGCTTTATATGTTTATATGACTTCAGCCTCTGTGCTCATCTTTCTCTACAGGGTAATACCATTGAGTCAGAGCAGCATCTATCAGAACTGACAGAGGAGGAGTATGAGGCTCAAATCTATCAGAGGCAAGACCTAAAGGGCTTCATGTGGCTGGATGCTAAGTACCTTAACCCCTTCTTCACTCGCAGGCTTACACAGGAGGTAAGCGAATCGGGGGGGAAGTCTTTTGTGTGGCACATAAAGCTTAAAAAAAACGATCACAATCCTTTGTTAATACTTTGTTATTTTCCAGTTGTCATGCTTTGTCCTCAGTCATTGGGATTTATCCACAATTAATATATATCTCACATTATCATGATGTATTTATTCATTGCGAGGGGCGTTTTGATTTGGATGAGAATCTGTGTCGTCAGGAAATGTGTAAAGATGCCTGCATGAACATTTCTGCCCAAGGGTTTATTCCTATATTTATATTTATAGTTTTCTTGGGGGGGGGGGTATCATGTTATGTAGGGCTTTGTTTCTTGTATCAAAATGAAACTGTCATGTTTAGACACAGAAACAATAATCTAATAGAAATATTTGAGAAATATGTCTGAGCAATTCTGACAACTACTTGTGGTGAACAAGTGTCTAAATGTTTTTGCTTTAAGACTTCCAGATCTTTTGTTTTGTCCAGTTCTCTGCATCTTTGTGTGATTATTTCTGTACGTGCATGTTCGTTCTAACATATTGCCAAATTTTTGTGTGTCTGATGTGTTTTAACAGGACCTGTTACATGGCCGGATCCAAATGAAGACTCTGACCAACAAGTGGTACGAAGAAGTTCGACAAGGACCGTCGGGCTCTGAGGACGACGAAGAAGAAGCCGAACTTCTCTGATCACTTTCACTGTTTGTTTTTTTTTGTAAGCCAATTTATGGACATTGTGTGGGCTGTGGTTTGTGTGTCCCTCTGTGAAAATGAGCATACTTTTCATTTCCTCCACAGGAATGTGTGGAATGTCTCAAGTCACAGTCCGAGTAAAACTCACATTTAACACTGTAAAACTGAATGAGAAAAAACATGTTGTTACTTTGTAAAGAAATTGGCAGGATATCTGATTGTATGCACCATTGACATGTTGAACAGCAGGAAGAGAGTTTTGCTGATTCTCAGAAACTTTTCCCGTGTTTTTCTTTCTTTTTTTGAATGAATCTTTCAATCCAAGGGAAAACTCAAGTGATACTGTGATGAAAATGTTCAGTTCTAAAGCACCTTATCATTTCTATTTGTCCCTTGCTTAGTTAAAAGTACAATGGAAGTTTTAAAGATTGTGAGGGGGAAGATACAAAACAATGGCGCCAATGTTTATATACTGCCAGAGGTTTGAATAGCTATTCAACTGGATTTAATTCTCTCCAAGTCTCCACATTTTTGTTAATTAATTATTCTGAGTAAATTTTAAGCATATGTATTGATACATATGTAATAAAGATTTTTAAAAAGGACCAAGTACCGGGCAACAAAAGAAATGCAGGAGAGAGTTAAAACTAGTTTAGCAGGTGGGATAAAACTAATAGTTAAATGCTAAATTCTAGACTATTGCTCTGAAAAATGGGAAATTGCTTTCATTTCTATGTATACTTTAGCTCTAAAAACAATTAACTTCCATGTGTTTATACTGATTTGTGGGTAAGATTTCTGTCTCTACACTGTCTAAAAGTGGACCTTGTTCACAAAGTATTTCCTTTGATCCCGGGCACCAATGAATGTCAGATGGCAATGTCTTTTTTTTTGTATTTATTTGAAGAATATTTATGTGCCGTTTATGGATAATGGCTTCTATACAAGCTCTGTGAGTACCACAAGATGATAAAAATAAATAAATATCTCTCTCATATATATACACATATATATGTACACATATGTACACACATACATATAATATAACATAATATAAAAAATACATTCCGTTAATAATTGAATGCATTAGTACTGGAGTTAGGCGACCTACAGGGAGTGCAGAATTATTAGGCAAATGAGTATTTTGTCCACATCATCCTCTTCATGCATGTTGTCTTACTCCAAGCTGTATAGGCTCGAAAGCCTACTACCAATTAAGCAGGTGATATGCATCTCTGTAATGAGAAGGGGTGTGGTCTAATGACATCAACACCCTATATCAGGTGTGCATAATTATTAGGCAACTTCCTTTCCTTTGGCAAAATGGGTCAAAAGAAGGACTTGACAGGCTCAGAAAAGTCAAAAATAGTGAGATATCTTGCAGAGGGATGCAGCAGTCTAAAAATGCAAAGCTTCTGAAGCGTGATCATCGAACAATCAAGCATTTCATTCAAAATATTAACAGGGTCGCAAGAAGCGTGTGGAAAAACCAAGGCGCAAACTAACTGCCCATGAACTGAGAAAAGTCAAGCGTGCAGCTGCCAAGATGCCACTTGCCACCAGTTTGGCCATATTTCAGAGCTGCAACATCACTGGAGTGCCCAAAAGCACAAGGTGTGCAATACTCAGAGACATGGCCAAGGTAAGAAAGGCTGAAAGACAACCACCACTGAACAAGACACACAAGCTGAAACGTCAAGACTGGGCCAAGAAATATCTCAAGACAGATTTTTCTAAGGTTTTATGGACTGATGAAATGAGAGTGAGTCTTGATGGGCCAGACACCTTCTTCAAGCAGTGGTACAGGAAGAAGTCTGCATCCTTCAAGAAAAACATGATCTTCATGCAGGACAATGCTCCATCACACGCGTCCAAGTACTCCACAGCGTGGCTGGCAAGAAAGGGTATAAAAGAAGAAAAACTAATGACATGGCCACCTTGTTCACCTGATCTGAACCCCATTGAGAACCTGTGGTCCATCATCAAATGTGAGATTTACAAGGAGGGAAAACAGTACACCTCTCTGAACAGTGTCTGGGAGGCTGTGGTTGCTGCTGCACGCAATGTTGATGGTGAACAGATCAAAACACTGACAGAATCCATGGATGGCAGGCTTTTGAGTGTCCTTGCAAAGAAAGGTGGCTATATTGGTCACTGATTTGTTTTTGTTTTGTTTTTGAATGTCAGAAATGTATATTTGTGAATGTGGAGATGTTATATTGGTTTCACTGGTAAAAATAAATAATTGAAATGGGTATATATTAGTTTTTTGTTAAGTTGCCTAATAATTATGCACAGTAATAGTCACCTGCACACACAGATATCCCCCTAAAATAGCTAAAACTAAAAACATTCAGCTTTGATATTAATGAGTTTTTGGGTTCATTGAGAACATGGTTGTTGTTCAATAATAAAATTATTCCTCAAAAATACAACTTGCCTAATAATTCTGTACTCCCTGTAGGTGCGTAAAGTAAGCAGTTTCACACATTTTCACTTGAAATATTAGTCGCGTCTTTTTATAGTACACTATTATTCTGGATAAAATAATATATGAATAAAATTCAACTTGTGCACTCATGTCTCCTAAATATATATTAGATAACACAGTGTTTCAGACATTAACAGGTTTTAATGTGAATTTCAGTGATAATCACTCGTTGAGCATTATTCTTGCAGGGTTCACTTTCCATTTCTTAAGCTGCAGGAACTAATTAGTTCATAGACTGTAGTAAGTGGAAGTGGAAGGTTAAATGTGTCTGACATAGACAGGGAGCCAGACTGGTCCACAGAGTAATTAGAATACATAAAAAGGTTAATGCATTATCCTGCTGGGAAATTATCCTATACCCATACAGTCAAAGCTCTCATGTCCAGTCCTGATAACACCAGACTATTATACCCTTGAACCATCTTGTGGGAACTCATTAGGCATATTGATGAAGAAGTGACAGTGTTTAACTGGAGGTAGGACATAAATGAATGCGGCCAGTTGGTCCATATACAGCATATCTCTGCGCATGGTTTTGATTTTGTGCATTTGTTATTTGTAAACAGTGGTCTCTATTTGAGGACAAAATTTCACATAGCCAGAAATAACCACCTGCAATAAGTGGGTATCATTTCCTGAAAGCACAGTGTTAATGTGTATATACAGAGGACATTTAATTCTGTGGAAATCCCTTTTTGCAATAATGATTTGCATCCAGTAGGGGGGGGTCTTAATCCACTACATTGGTCCATGAAAAATTGATGATGCCAGATAACAGTGGTTTTAATACTATTTTTCAGTACTCAGTAACTTAAGAAAATTAAGACTAAAAGTCTAAGGGAAAAGAGTTTTTGAACTGTATACATTTTTTTGTATTTGTTTTTTACATGCAAGTGGACAGCTTTTTTTTTTTTTTTAGAGATTAGATGGAAAAATTAAAAACTGCAGAGTGACTGAATTGAGTCTGGTCCTCTGCCAAACAGTAAAAAAGAAATAAATAATATGTTGATGGAATTTGCCTTACATTGGTACAGGTGTGAATTAATATCCCACTCTGGCACACTTACAGTTTCTGATTATGCACACATGCATATGCACGCAAATATTCGATTTCAGCTGTAGAAGAACTACAGCAGGGGATTTCACTGGTTATTTTGCTCATATTTGGAATCAGAAGCTACAGTTTTTATAGTTTCCCTATATGTCATAGCAGTCTCCATATGCTGAGAATTGCTTCAGCTTTTAACTATGGAAACTTGCTAAAGTAATTCACTATTATGACATTAATGTTCAAAGGCAGCATGTAAATTGAGGAAAGACCATCCGGGAGAAGTACAGCACATAAATATCCAATACTTAAACAGAGACTTATGGTTTAATGGAGAAAAATAATCTTAAGCGATATATCTGGGCATCATGGTTTTACTCTTTTGCACCACAAAGAGTAATATATGTCAATTTATTTACTAGTATATATCAGTACAGTTTACCAGCAGTCTTTGCATCAGCGCTCGTTTAGAGCAAAACCAAAGTAAAAGAACAACAGCTTTTTGTCTTTTGTCACGTATAAAGTCACCTCAGAAGGCAAAGCAAATACTTCCAGCTGCCCCCAGTGATCATTGTTTGTCTGGGAGGGGGGTGCATGTGTTTTCTTTCCCAGAATAATGATAAAGAAAACACAGCCACAACAGGCAGCAGATGGCTGGATGTTTGAGTTCAGATTTTTCATCAAAGAAAAGTACATGTCACATCAGGTGTTTTGAGTGTGGTTTGATCTTAGTTTGTCATAGTTTTCACTGGACATGGAGGTGTTGGAATATAGAAAGCATGTCATGAAGAAGCAAAATGAAAATTGGCCCTGTACCAGAATGTATTGCACTTGGATTCTGCTGCATGAAATCCAGTTGCTGGGGTTGCAAATGTTGTGAGCAGTCTTTTGAAGGAAATATCTATACATTTAGATATTAAACCAATATGCTGTACAGTAAAGAGAAAAAGTCATGTATAAAAAGAACATCAGCGTTACTTCTGCTCAACCTGTTCACTGTTTACCCAGAGAAATGCCATTCACTGGATATTTTTGTTGTTTCTGACCATTTTCTATAAGCCATGGAGATGAATGGATGTATGGGGGTGGGAGGGAATCCCAGTAGACCAGCAGTTTCAGAAATACCAGTTCACTCTGGCATCAGCATCAATGGCAACTAATAATTATGTTTCTTCTCTATTCTGATGCTTGGTTTAAACTTCAGCAGGTTGTTTCGACCTTGTGCTAACATGCATTGAGTTGCTGCCATGTGATTGGCTGATTAAAGAGGAGTTGAACAGGTGTGCCTAATAACTGTGCCGGTGAGTACTTCTATTTCATATATGAACTTTTTTTTAAATGAATTAACAACTGCACTGTTAGTCTGTGCAAAGTAATGATCTGTTTCTCAAATGTGTGCTCGCTTGATAACAGAAGAGAGAAAGCTTGAAGTGTTTATTCACTGGCTGGATTGACCACTCAGCACAAAGAGACGTAAAGTCAATGGCGGCAATGAGAGTAATCAATAATACACATACGGACTTCGTGGTAATTAGATCACAAGATTTAGAGGCTTATTGTGGCTAACCTTATTGACATTTCATTAGACATCCTGTAACATCAATAGTTACGTGTGTTCTGCACAGCACTGACACACCTACCTGTCACTCACCTGAACGTCACTTTTTGAGGATAAGCCATTATTTGTCTTAAACACTATTTATTCCAGTGATGGAGTTAGGAGTTTGTCGGATTTTCATTTAATTCAGCTGTATGTTTCTTTTTTTTTTCATTCACTCAGCTCTGTGTCACTTTAGTGCTCGTTTGTTATTATTCTTTTACTAGCCTGCAGCACTTTTTTGCTTTGCTCACGTGGCACAGATATGTATGGTTAATTTATCTTGTTATTCGGAATATCTTTGAAATGCTACTGTATATAGTCAGATGACAAAAACTTGTCTGTTTATAAGCACTTAACAATGGAATGATGTAGACATGCACACACACACACACACACATATATATATATACATATATATATACATATATATATACACACACACACACACATATATATATATATATATATATATATATATATACATATATACATATATATATTTACATGAATATTTATTCATCTTCTTTGCACGCTACATAATCAAGCTATATAGAAACTTGTAGATCTTGCATTTAACATTTACAAGGTAGGACCAGATTGTTTTTTACTATGTCCTGATATGTAAAACCTTAGAGGGTGTTCTTTTTTCTTACTGAGACTGCATATCCATTATTTATATACAGATAGTAAAGTAAGTAAAGTAACATTTTATTTGTATAGCACCTTTCAAGAGAAAAATCACAAAGTGCTTCACAGAAAAGCTAAAACATAAAAAGAGAAATCAACCAAAAGCAAGTTTAAAAAGATGGTTTTTAGCTGTTTTTTAAATGACACCACTGAGTCCACAGATCACAGGCT